TGCCACTGGGATGGAACAAGATGACTTCAGACTTCTTCTCGTTGAAATGTAAGAAGTTTAAAGCCATCCAGTCCCAGATGTCAGCCAGGCAGTCAAGAAGAGGTTGAATAGAGCGTGTGCCTCTGTGCCTCAGGGGGAAGTAAATTTGACAGTCATCGGCGTAGAAATGAAAGGGTATGTTATGATTGCGGAAAACAGCACCTAGTGGCAGCAGGTATAAAGAAAAGAGAAGGGGACTGAGGATGGACCCCTGCGGCACCCCCCACTGAAGTGCTGCCGATGCTGAACAGAAATCTTTGATACCGATACAAAAGGTTCTATCTGCGTCACTCTGTCTTCTGATCATGACTACACAGACTCTGATGCTCGCACTGGTAATCAAGATGCTGATCTTATACCTCTGCCTTTATCTTCCCCTGATACACCACTCAAGCCAAAAGAAAAAAACTTTACATTATTGCCACAGTTAATGAGCAAGCAGATAACCTGGATCATGAGTACCAAGAACACGGTGAGCATTGAAGCCTTGACGAGATTCGTTGACTTCACTTTTGCAGAAGTTGAGTCACTAAAAACTGATATGAAAGTGAGAGAGGTCAAAAGTGCCAGTGAAAGATATGACCGACAAATAATAGAATTGCAATCTAAGCTTAACGAGACTGAAAGGTTTGAACGGAGATGAAACCACAGACTTCATGGCGTCCATGAGGGTAATTCAGAAGATACTGCATCAAAGCCAATGTTCTCAACATTTGCTGTGGTATGATACCTGGCTCACAGCAGGAAATGACAGAGGGTATCGACATTATCCACCAATACCAGGGGACATTATTATTACCCTTTATTTAACCAGGAGGAAACTGGAGTACCCAGTGAAAACCCACGCAAGCATGAGAATAACATGCAAACTCCACACAGAAATGCCCCAGGTCCAACCGGGGATTGAACCATCAAACAGGCCCAGGACAACTACCATCCACTTTACAAACAGACCTACATGACACCTTCTGTCGAGAACGGCGAAAAAGAGTGAATACCTCAAAGCCAACAAAGTGAGGTTCATTGAAGATTTAACTGCTAATGACAAAGCAATATGAAATAAGAAAGAGTTCAGAAAGAGGACTCATTTTACAGGTACCAGTGTCGTAATCGACTGACTTCCAAACAAACGTTTTTTTAAACGTGAGGGGAACACATGCCCTTCAAACATGATCAATGCAAACTTCTTTATTGATAACTGGAAAAGGATCTGGACTTTACCAACCAAATACATGATCAATAATAAAGTAAAAGAAGTATCCTTTAAAATCATTCACAGATCTTTCTATAACGCTTTAAAAAAGGATATAAATGTAACTTGCTCATTCTTTGAAGGTCACCTTGAATATGTTTGTCACTTATTTTGGTCTTGCCCCGTCTCTACCTATGGGACGATACTGTATGTATCCTGATTTCTACTTCTACTGAACCACATTTGTCCCTTTGCTTTGAACACATTACTGACCGCTACCCATCAGCTAAAAAAAACAACAACACATTTTTATATCATTAATCTTATCATACATTTAGTCAAATGGTACAGCCATAAATGTCGTTACACTGATCAAAAACCACTTAGTGTATTTACATTTTTGAAAATGAGGTCAGGTCAATACTGTATATTAAAACTATTAGACAGTCCACCAATACGAAAGCCATAAAAACTTGTACATTATGTAATTTCTTTAATGTATTTGTGTAACATGTTATTCTAAACATTTGCCTCATTGTATGTAACCCCCTGACGACGCTCATTCCACTCTGCACTGTTCTGCAGTTTATTTCCAATAAAGTTAAAAACATTTTTTTAGCGTAGTCTATCATGTGACACGGTCTGTCGCACGTGACCAATTCAACAAAAAAAAAATAGTTTATTCGTATTTATATTTTTGTAAAATACTGATTTTCATCCAGTATGTTAAAAACGTACATGTTTCATATTTAGCTTAAATGTTGCTTCTGTCAACGCACGCGAACACGTTTGGTGCATTCATAGTCCCATCGTAAACTGAAGCCTCCGTCTTCTGCAAGTTTAGTTAACGTTGCATGAAACTTTCGTGCCAACGATGACGTGTGAGTGTAATAACTTAACAACTACAGTCCAATTTCGGTAGCAGTTATCGATGTCAGTAAGTTACGACAGAGTTTGAGACGAAACATGTACAATACGGCCGGAAACCCGGAGTAGTTTGTCTGGCGGTCTACGCTGCTCCTACTGTACCGAGGTCCTTGAAGGCAGCATCAGTCCCAGCGTGTGCGGCGCAGCAGAGAGAACCATGGCGGCCTGTGCCCTACGACGAGGCTTGCTGAGCAGCGTTAGCAAATACAGCAGGAAACACACTCACAGAATACTGAGTGTCAGTGACACCAGCAGCGGGCTTGAGGCGTACAAACCACGGTTACAATGCCGAGCCTGCGGGCTGCTCAGCGGGGCTCAGCAGCGGAGGTTTATGTCGTCACGGTAAGAAACGCAGGCAGCGACTTGAGCTAGAGCTAGCATGCTAAAGTCAAGACGGGAGCTAAGCTTGTCACATGGACCGTAAGAACAAACTGGGCCCTCTCTCAAAGCAGGCGGCCCAAGACAGGGGCTTGATTATGAGAATGGTTGTGTATTTTCTCAGTTTTTGCCTTTCTCAGCAGAAGGTTTCCAGTCGTCCTGTACTTTAGCTAACCTGGCAGCAGGACGTGTTGAGTAACACCGTGACTGCTGAGACACATGTTGGACACATCCACAATCATCTGCTCTAATCAGGAACACCATTCTTTTACAAGGAGGGTTTTGATAAAACAAGGAACTTAAAATGAACGCTCAAACATTCCAAGGTCACGTGTCTTGGTTAAAAAGAGGAAATTTTGTGTTTTAAAGTCCAAAATTTGGGCATATTGATTGAGTTTGTGCTGCTCGATGAGAAAAGTGCTGCCACAAAAAATGACCCAGTTTCTGCAGCTTATTAAATATTGCTGTATAACTTTCAGCAGAAAAAGTCCTTGATGGTTGTTGAAAATGATCTAGCCTTTTCAATGAGTCGAATAATAATCAGTATGCATTTATTTTAATTAATTACCTAGTATAAACTTGTTCACCCTAAACAGGGCCGGATTTAGGAGGATGGGGGCCCCTGGGCTGGAGTCAATACTGTATATATATATAACTATATATATATATATATATATATATATATATATATATATATATATACCAAGGTTTTTACAGAGAACATCTTGAAAAATATGAAGAACAAAATACAGATTTCCATTTATTAATGACACTTCTGCATTCATCTTATCTGGAGGAACTAGAACCACAAACACTGTTGTCTGCCATTGTAAAATAATATTCCCTGACGCTCCTCCCCAATGCGTAAGATGCGTCAAAAGTGGACCAATAACAAGCAAGCATTCAAGATGGTCGTTTTCCAGAACAAATTGGAACATTTTTCATCAGTGCTGTCAAAATCATCATAGTCATTGATTAAATTCTGACACTATCCATTCACAAAAACATAAAACATCCTTCGGGGCCCCTGAAATGCCGGGGCCCTGGGCTGCAGCCCCTGTAAGCCCCTGCTAAAATCCGGCCCAGACCCTAAAGATTGAGTGGCTGACCCTGCCAGGTTGGAAAATCACAAATTCAGGAGGTGGAACCACGATCAGCAGCGACTAGAATCGGTTTTTACTGCAAATATCTTTTAAAGATTCAAACATTTAACATGTAATTTTAGTCTGAATCACCTGATGTTTGAATTAGCTCGGTTGGTTTCCTGTCAAAAATGAAAAAGCTTACGTTCAAGTTGATTTGTAGTCAACTAAACTTAAACAACTAAACGTGCATTTAACAACCAGTTAATTAACTCGTGTTCCTCTCAACAGTCTCCCCAAAATGCCCAAGATTATTTTTAAAGGTGGATGCACATGAAGGGATGGAGATTGGAGAGCTAAATGAGGCCACAGAACCAAGCCCTACTTGTTGCTGTTTCAGATTTGATAGCGACACAAAGAATCAAATGTTCTGGACATATTTTTCTGTGCGTATGGCCAAGCATTCTCTGAAGTCTCCATCTGGAGTCTCCAAATGGACCCCAACATTAAACGGCTGTAACGCCTGAATGTGTCGACGTCCAGTGATAACTGGAGGAGTCGTGTTCTGTAACTACAGTCGCTGTCAGTAGAGTTGCATTCAGGCCCAAAAACATCTGAACCCAGACCCCCCACACACATAGTTTTAATGAGTTATTAACGGTTGGAGACGCGCAGCTGAATAAAGGCGTCGGAAGATTCGGAGCTGAGAGGTGTTTGTCATTTCAATCCTGTTTCTGCTGCGTTCTTCTGAATTACTGAGACACGCGGACAGCTCTGACACACGTCTGCTTTGGGATCTCACCTGTTTGGGTCATCGGCCGCGCGCGTCCGCCGAGTGCAGCGGCTGAATGAATGTCCATTTGGGTGATGGATTGCTTCCGGCAGTATTCATTCAACCTTTATTTAGACGGTAAATCCCATTGAGCCTCGAGGACTCCTTTACAAGAGGGACCTGATTTCAACAAATTAAAGTCCCATCTGAAGCTTAAATGAACTTTTTACCTCGTTCAAGGTCGGTCAGCTCGCGGTGAAGTGGCCACGTGCGGCTGGTGGATGTATGGCAGGCCATGTTATCATATAATTAGATGGCGGCTGATCTTGACTTAATTAAAAGCCCAAAACTGGCCCGGCCTGCCCATTAATCACATTATAACGACCCGGCCCTAATCCGGGTCGGTCCGGACCGGGTTTGGGTTAGAAATGACAGCTCTAACTGTCAGCTTGATGGAAATACAGTAAGTTATGCATAAACTGTCAGAATGCTCAGCAAAGCATATAACCCCCCCCCCCACACACACACACACACACACACACACACACACACACACACAGCTAAAAGTCTACAAACAGTGATTTCTTTTACAAAAGTATTTGCATTATCAAAAAGCAGCTGGGTGTAAAGTTTCCATGATGTAACATGTCCTGCCTCTCTATTCTGTGACCTGTGCTGAGTCTGTGTGCATCACACTGTGTTGGTCATGTTGCGGTTGTTGTTGTTATCCATTATTGTTTCTGTTGGTTTCTACTTTTTGGTGTCCTGTTATGTAATCTGTTGCTGTGCTTGTTCTGTTTGTCCCTGTACAGCACTTTGGTGTGCTTTGTCTCTGTTTAAAGTGCTTTATAAATAAATTGGTATGGTATGGTATGGTATTCGACATGTTTCATCATGCTTTAGTTTTTTACAAAACAAAATGTCAACTTACGTCTCACACAAATGCACACGAGCACCAGCACATTCTAACGTTAATGTGTTGACCGTTTTATAACTCGCCCTCTCATGGAGCGTATTGCAGCGACAGGAAATAGATTGGCGATACGTCAGTAGCATCGGGCTCGGCGTCAGAGATGGTAGGTTTGATCTGTAGGCAACAAAGTGTCGTCCTTGTAGACGGCATGGCGCTCTGTGGACACTGTTGGCTTTACAGAGACCCTCCATCAACCAGTTGGTTAAAAGAGGTGTCAGTCGAAAGAAGAGGGCCTACAGCCATTTTGACACTGTGGTATTTTAATTTGAAACCCTGATTTAGCTATTTATTTAATAATTTTTATTTAATGAGGCAAAGCCCATTGAGGTCACAGATCTCGTTTTCAAGGGAGGCCTGGGCCTGAAGGAAGCCTAACATGCATGTTTTGAACTGGGGGAGGAAAACCCATGCAAACACAAGGAGAACATGCAAACTCCACACAGAAAGAACCCAGGTCCAAATGGGGAATTGAACCCAGGACCTTATTGCTGTGAGGCAACTGTATTATTATACACAGTATCTTATAAGATCAAGTATTTCCAACTGCTAACTGTGAGAAGGTGATATTTATAAGACTGAGCTTATTGCAGCTCCTCAGACTGATGAAGTCTTTCGGGTGAAACACGAAACGTTTCTACAATTTTTTGTTTTTTGAACCCGTCCAGAGGACCTGACTTGACTTTTTTAAAGATTTTCTACCTGGATTATTGAGCATGCACCGGGACCAATCCTTCTCAGTCAGGTCCTCTGGACACTTTCTTTCTTTTTTTAAAGAAAC